GTTGTATTTGTTATTAATTTAGCATAATGGTTTTTACAACTTTACTGTGGCATATTTTACCAAGTTGAGCAACCATCACCATAAATCAGTTATAGTATATTTTCATCACCCCAATAAGATTCTTCAGGCCTATTTACTATTCATCCCATTCCACTCTTTACCCCTAGCAACCACTAACCTACTTTCTGTCCCTATAGATTTGTCTTTTGTGGAGATTTCATATATTGAATCATATAATATGTGGTTTCTTGTGTCTAGCTCCTTTCACTTAGCATACTCTTTTTCAGATTCATCCATGCTGTTGAGTATATTAATATTTTGCTCCTTTATCACTGATTTTTTACTAATTTTATCAAAATGTGTAGTATTACTTAATTCACTTATTCTGTTCATCTTTTGCTAGACATCTGGGTTGTTTCCAAGTTTGGGGCTATTATGAATAATGCTCTCATAAACACTTTCAACCCTGTGTGTGAAATATGTTTTCATTTCTTTTGGATAAATATCTAGGAGTGAGATTATTGGGCCATATGGTAAGTATATGTATAACTTTATAATACACTGTTCTACTGATTTCAAAACTGGCTGTACAATTTTGCATTCCTCAAGCAATATGTAAGAGCTCCATTGCCCCATAGCTTTATCAACACTGTTTCAATATTCATATTGTCAGTCCTTTAAATTTTAGCCATTTTAGTAGGTGTGCAATGATATCTATATAGCTATTAATATATGTTTATAACAATGCAATATCAATCAAAACCCTAGTGATTTTTAAAGGAATTTAATAGGCTGATTATAAAATATATGTTAAAAGGCAAAAATATTTAGAAAAGCCAAAACAATCTTGAAAATAAAGGAAAAAGTTGAAGGACTTACAGTACCTAATTTCAAGTCCTACTATACAGATTTATGGCAAGATGGTATGGAATTAGCATAAAGATAGACATAGATCAATGATGCAGCACAGTCAGGAAATAAATCCATACTTATATGATCATTTATTTTCAACATTAAAGATACTTGAAATTTCATTCATTCAACAAATACTTATTGGGCATCTCCTATATGCCAGACACTGTAATAGACACTGGGGATATAAGCATTCAAACATCTCTATCCTCATGTAGCTTATATTCTGATTGGGCAAGAAGATGATAGATAGATAGATAGATTAGATAGATAGATAGATAGATAGATAGACAGATAGAGTAAATAATATGTTAAATAATTATAAGTCCTTTGGGGAAAATAAAGCAGGAAAGGACACAGCAGTAATAGGGGTCTGTTTTAAATGTTGTAGCCAGGGTAACAAGCCAGCTACATAACACTACAGGGAGAGGAAACAGCAAGTGCAGATTCCCTGAGGCAGGCCTTGAAGGAGAGAGTGTGGTGAGAATGAGTAAGGTACAGAGTCAGAGTCAGGGGCCTTAGCTAAAAAAATAGGAGCTTGTAAGAACAGTAAGGAATTTAGCTTTGATTGCCTGAGACAGGAAGCCACTGAAGGGCTTTGAGTGGAGAGGTGACATCATATGATTAAAGGTTTTCAAAGAGTTACTATGGCTGATATAGTGAGAATGGAATTTCAAGACAGAAGAAGGGAGGGCAAGGGGGAAGAAGTGTAGCCTAATCCAAAATTAATCTGGCCACCATAAGAGATACCACAGAGTGAATGTTAGAAAAAAGAATATAACAAAAGATACAGATAAGTAGGAGCTAAAGAGAGAGGAGGTAACTGATCAGAGCATTAAAAAGAGAGACAGAAAAAACTAAAAAGAGCATGAGAGGATTGATTTTCAAAAAGCAGAGTGAGATGGTGTCAAATGCTTCAGAGAAGACAAGAGGTATGAGATTGGGAAAAGACCACTGAATTTTAAGCATAAAGGGTTATTTAGTGAATTTCTGTAGCACAGTTTTGGTACCATGGTGGGACCATAGTGGCTTTAGGACAAATGGGGCAGTGGTAAAATTCACTTTCTTAAGACATTTTCCAGTGGAAGGAAGGAAAATAGCATAAACTAGAGCAGTGGTTCTCAACCTTCCTAATGCCGCGACCCTTTAATACAGTTCCTCATGTTGTGGTGACCCCCAACCATAAAATTATTTTTGTTGCTACTTCATAACTGTAATTTTGCTACTGTTATGAATTGTAATGTAAATATCTGATATGCAGGATGTATTTTCATTGTTACAAATTGAACATAATTAAAGCATAGTGATTTATCACAAAAACAATATGTAATTATATATGTGTTTTCCGATGGTCTTAGGCGACCCCTGTGAAAGCGTCGTTCGACCCCCAAAGGGGTCGCAACCCACAGGTTGAGAACTGCTAAACTAGAGGAAAGTAGGGGAAGATGAAGGTTGATTTCAGGATAGGCTAGACCAGTGGCCCTTTAAATACAGTTCTGGCCCTTTAAATACAGTTCCTCATGTTGTGACCCCCAACCATAAAATTATTTTCGTTGCTACTTCATAACTGTAATGTTGCTACTGTTATGAATCGTAATGTAAATATCTGATATGCAGGATGGTCTTAGGCGACCCCTGTGAAAGGGTCGTTCGACCGCCAAAGGGGTCGTGACCCACAGGTTGAGAACCACTGGGCTAGACCATTAAGTCTACAGGCTGAGGAGAAAAATCCAGGGGCCTGGGAATAACAGGATGACAGAGAAAGCAGAAGACTGGAAGAGTGTTGGAGAGGGTGGAGAGTGGAGGAATAGCTAGGGACCAAGCTTCCTAGAATCTCCTAGCCAACTCCAGGAATTGCCTTGAAGGTGTTGTTTCTTTTGATATTTTTTTTTTTGTAGTGTTTGTTTTGTTCTCCTAAAGTACTATATTACAACTACACCAATCCCACTCTGATTTCTCCCAGCTCACATAACAACTTACCTCAACTAGGTTGTCCCCCTCTGCTTTATGTTAACTATAATCCCTTGTTCTGCTGGGGAATCTAAATAGGATGCAAAAATTCTAGGAAGACACAAATCAGTCTTGTAGAAAGCATCTGTTAGATGCTGCCTGGCTGAGATTTGCTCTGTACCAGGCACGCTAATTTAGCGGTGTGAATGGCCTTAGCCTGGCGCTGTTTGCACATTTCATCTGTGAAGCCACTGAAGGTGCTGTTGTGCTCCCCAATACACAACATCTGGGCCTTGCCATATAGGGCAGCCTGGTTCTAAGTAGGAGGTAGGCAGGAACAGCTAAGCAAGACTTGGGAATTTCACCCCCCACATACACATCCTTCTTTAATTTTTCTTTAAAAGGCTCACACCCAGGTTCATTTTCACATACAAAGAAGTCCTTTGTATTTCATTATGACCAAGTCACAAAAGTAAATGTTTTTCTTTAAAAGGAAAGTGGGTGTGGATGATGGTCACTTGGGTGGAATGTGAATAAAGACTTTCCTCCCAGGAAGCAGAACTCCAAAGGAAAATGGAATTATGTTGAACTCCCAATTTGGCAACAATACTTTTAATTATTATGTTTGTTATTTTGTTTTTTTCCTGATCTATAAGGAATTTTGAAAATATTTTAAGTTTAAATATGCTGGGTAGAAAGAATTCTTGTGTCCGAAGCAAGTTACACTGCTCAATAGAAGCAAGGTATTTTCCATTCTCCTTTATTTCAAAAGTGGATGCTCAACTAAAATTTTCAAATATTTTGTTGTTGTTGTTAATCCTCACCTGAGGATTTCCATTGATTTTTTATTTTGTTTTGTTTTTTAGAGTGAGTGGAAGGGAGTGGGAGATAGAGAGAAAGAAACATCAATGTGAGAGAGAGACAACACTCCCATATGAGCCCCAACCAGAGCCAGGGATCCAGGCTGCAACCAACGTACGTGCCCTTGACCAGAATCAAACCTGGGACCCTTTAGTCCGAGGGCTGATGCTCTATCCACTGAGCCAAACCAGCGAGGGCTCAAATATGTTTTAACGTCACTGTAATATATGGAATGCATTTTTACATGGGAGCTAAAAGCAAGTGACCTAACCAGATATAGTTCAATAGGAACAATGTAGATCACTTCATATAACTAACTAAACACACACTTTGGTTTCCTATCCACCACTACACTTTTTGGTTGACCACATGAAGCATTAGCACCCTTTTGCAAATTGTGAAGTAGACAAATATTTAGAGTGAGCTAATGCAACGTTTTTTTTTCTAGATCCTTTAACCCTGTCGACAATAAATTCAAATGTTACTATTTTCCCTGAAGGCTTCATACTCTCCTCTCAGTCTCTTTTTTTTTTTCTTTTTGGGAAAGAATCTTAAAGAATATTAACATAATAAGTCTTTTAGTGTTACACATCACAGGAACTTCTACATTGAAAATGGAAACAACACGGTAAGGCAAGGCAATGAATCTTTAAGCAATTTCAGCTGGCAAACAGCACAAGCTTTCTTTTCTAGAAGAAAGGAGACTTCTAGTACCTTTAAAAAGATACATCAGCATCTTCCTAGTCTGAATAGTCTTAAGTATGGGAAGACTTATAGACAGGCATTTCCATAGGAACAGTTATTAATTCAATAAGTATTTATTGAACATTTCCCCCTGAGGCCCATATTTTACATCATGATCCAACATACACACATATATACTCCAACTTCGGAAACAATATTTTGATTAAAAAATACTTATCTCACTCTGTGCAGTGCACTCTGATATTTTCATTTCTATTGAATTTTTTAAATGCTCATGATATCTCACAACCCAGATTTTATGACCCAGTTTTAAAAAGCACTGTAGAATGTCTGGACCCTACACTGCGCCCTGATGACATGTGCCTACTTTCAACCTTCACGGTAGTTGGAGTGGGAGATATTTTAGAAGTAAGCAAATAATTATAATTTGTGATATATTCTAAGAAGGTAATCAAGATAGAAGTCTGATAAAATTAGGAGACCTAATTTAGAAAGAGTGGTCAGAGAAGACCTCTTTGAAGAGGGAAGTAAGCTGAGACCTAAAGGATGAAAAAGAGACAGACATACCAAGGGCAGGGGGAACAGCATTCCAGGGAGAGGCGACCACATTCCATGAGGCTGGAAGGAACCTTTTGAAGAACTGGCAGGAGGCCAATGTGTCTCCCTGTAGTGAGAGAGGAGAGGGGATTAGAAATGAGGTTGGGAAGAGAAGCAGGGGTACAGCATGCAAGGATTTGTAGGCAATAGTAAACAGTTTGGACTTAATTCTAAATGTAGTGGGTAGCCTCTGACAGATTTTTGAATTGTGTTAAATTAGGTTATGCAGCTAAAGTTACTGTAAATCATTCTGTACTTTGACCTCCATTGTTGAAGAGTCCATACTGCATTCTCAGAAACCTGCCAAGTTTCAGAAGAACTGATTGGCTCTCCAGTGATTTTGGAGGCAGCATGTTCAAGATGAGCTCATGTAATTAGTAATAAGCGAAATAATTCCCTTTGGGAATGGAAAGGACAATAGTGGCAAAATATATATTGTCCCCACTCAAAATCAAGTGCATTTAAGATATTCCCACTCTAAGGCACAGTTTTTTTTAATAGCTGCATAAAATTGTTCATATTGAATCTTTACAATGTGGTACACAGTTTGGTACTCACAAATTTCCATCTCCCTACCCTGTATATGGAAGCTGTGCCTAAAAAAAATAGGTGAAAGATTACATTTGCCAGTTCTCTTGGTATTCCCATTTTATGGCTTTTGTGGGAATGCAGTTCAAGCTTGCCTGCTATTTTATTTAATATGCCTCCTTGTAAATTCCAGCTGTTGACCGTGTAATTAATCCCTGTATGGAAAAAATATTGGCATTCGTTCCTGCAATACCTGAGCTTCATCCCAACAGAATTATATTCATCATAGCCCTTTCCATTACTCTATAGTTGTTCCTCAGAACCATTTTACATTTCACACAATTAATATACACCAGGACCCTGCTCCCAACTTCTGTATAGTTACTCAACCATGACTTTCATTTATTCTCCTTGGTTTGGTAGTCACTGAAATCTAGAATTTTAAATAACAAGCATCTTCTATGTTACTCCTAGAAAGGTTACTCTTAAGTTGTTAACTTACTGTAGAATGTGGTAACTGTTATAAACGTGGTGGTTAGATCCTGATAACTATAACTAATATAAGACAGTCTTTGACATTTATCCTTGGCCACAAGAGTCTCTTTTTAAGTCCTTTTTAGCTTTCCATGCTTCCCCTTACCCTTTTTAGTTATTCAGTCTTTGTGTTCTCTTCTTTCATTAGATTTATAGAAACTCATTTTCCTTTTTACATCAAAATGAAAATGGCCGAGAATTTCAAGCATCACCCTCACAGAAGTATTTGCCTTTTGATAGGGGGCAAAGTTTAAGATAAAGAGTAAATTCACCTGCTTTTTGTCCAGAAAGTGACTGGACAAAGCTCCATAAAGCCTGTATGTCCTTGACATGTCACCCTGTAATTAGTTCTTATACTATATATCTATAAGGCCAGCTCTGTTCACTACAGCATGATATCTCAACTAAGAATAACACCTACATTATTGGTATTGATTTGATGGCAAAATAATCCTCAAACAGTTTCAAAAATTCACATTTAGATAAGTAAATTGATGAAAGATAATCAGCTTTGCAGCAATGTCTGGAAATCAGGTTTGTTTTTTAAAACAGAAAAAAAGACCAATTTATTTTTTAAAATTCTATTTGAAAATTTACCCTAGGATCTTGAAAATATGTGTACTAATGAAAAACAGCTGGATTCAGGACAAAATTATGAAAGTAAATCACACGTTTGACTGGGTATGTTTTCTTTAGGATAGAGATCAAGAAGATACATTGCCAACCCAAATGTAGATGGATTTTAATATGTTTTTGTAATATATAAAGTTAAAGGCTGCTTTGTAAAAGCTTACATTTATTTATCAAATTAAATCTATTTGTCAAATGGGAAAGAATTTGGAGTGAATATAAATTAAAGAGAAAATAGAAAACTTTATGAAGTCCACCTGAGTACAAAATTTTAAAAAGAAAAATGTTGATGAAAATTTCTTAAGAATTTTCTAGTTTGTCATTTCCTCTAGGATATTTAAGGTCCACAGAATGTTTCTGTTAGCCATACACAAACACATAAAAGGAAACAGGTAACAGTGTTAGAAGAAATTTATTTATTCAACTAATATTATTTGAATATTAAAGTTGTGGGAAGTATAAAAGTAAATTAGATATGGAATGTGTCCTAAAAGAGTCTTTTTGGTAGGGAAAAATATGAATTTGAATGATTTAATAAAATATGATGAATCAATTAAATCTATATACCTATAGTAAAAAAAAGATTTCTTTTTTAGTTTTAGAGAATTATCAGAAATATACACATTAATGTTGATATAAGTTAAAAATTATTCTTCCTGACACTGATATAGTAGCTTTGTTCTTGTATTGTGAATTGTTTTATACTTTTCAGATTAGAATGGACTAAAATTTTATAAACATTTTCCTTCAAAATATAAGAATATAAAATTAAACCATTGTAACATATTTTAAACCATAAAAACAAGTTAGTGCAGATTTAGAAATCAGACATCTGGAGGACAGCTTTAGAACAAAGTCTATCCCAAATGTTATCTCATCTATATAGAAACCCATCAACATTCTTACCATAGTGAAGGCATGGCCCATGGGGCAGAAGGCCAGCTGAAGCAAGGCTTTGGTGATAGAAGTTTTCAAAGTTTATCCAACCAAGATGTGTGTTCGTGTGTATGTAAAATTATTATTAAGTAAGTCTACTACACATTGTTGCTGCTTCAATAATAGGTTCCTGCTCTTCCTAAATCTCAAGTTAATTACCCCTTCATATCTTTGCACTCTCTACTTCTGCAAACAAATGGTAGGGAGGAAGTCCATTCTGCAGGCTTACTCTTACCCCCACAAAACTCCTCATTGTAAGGCACTTGGGTTGAGAGTTACTTAAATAAAAGTTTCTTTACTTTTATGTAAATACTAGAGGCCAGTTCAGGAGGCGGCCAGTCCGATCAGGGGAAGACATGCGCTGCCATCACCCCACCACTGCCACAGATGCCCTCGGCCCTCGCAGCTGCCAGGGCTTTGTCCAGAAGGACGTTTGGCTCTCTGGTCTAATTAGCATATTATGCTTTTATTATTATAGACTAGAGGACCGGTGCACGGATTCATGCACTGGTGGGGTCCCTCAGCCTGGTCTGTGCCCTCTCACAATCTGGGACCCCTCAGAGGATGTAGTAGTGCCCGAAGCAGCAGGCAGCCTGGGAGGAACCCAAGCCCAGGCCAGGTGCTGCGCCGCTCCTGCTCATCCTGGCCCCGCTGCACCTGCTGCCACCACCTCTCAGTAAGCTCGCTGAGTGGTGCTCCTGCTGTGGGAGTGCACTACCCAGCAGGGGGCAGCTCCTGCACTGAGTGTCTGCCCCCTGATGGTTAGTGTGTGTCATAGCAACCGGTCAAATGGTCAACCGGTCGAACGGTTGACCTGTCGCTTAGGGTTTTATATATATAGACTAGTGGCCCGGTGCACGGATTCGTGCACTGGTGGGGTCCCTTGGCCTGGCCTACGGGGATCAGTGGACCTCCGTGCCACTGCAGCCCGGCCTTACCCGCCAGCTTGTCGGGCTCCATCCCACTGTCTGCCTCAATCCTGCACAACACGAAGTAGTGCACGAAGCGGCAGGCGGCCAGGGAGGAGCCAGAGCCCGGGCTGGGTGCTGTGCCGCTCCCGCTCATCCCAGCCCTGCTGCGCCTGCCCCTGCTGCTGCTCAGATGTGCAGGGGAAGTGTCCACTGGACAGGCTTGCACCACCACAGCTGAGCTTGCCAGCCATGAGCTGGGCGTCTGGAGCCTGTCTGTCAGCTGAGTGGCGCTTCTGCTGTGGGAGCACACTTCTGCTGGGGGGCAGACGCAGGAGCTGCCTCCTGGTGGTCAGTCACGTCATAGCTATTGCTCATCTGGTCATCTGGTTGCTTAGGCTTTTATATATACAGATGGATAATCTATTATTTAAAAAACTAGAAGATGTATTTACTTAATTTTACTAGAAAATTTTATTTATTTAATTAAAAAATTACTGGTATCTGGGGTGTCCGCCCTACTCTGGACCCTCACCTTCTCATTGGGCCAGTTGAATCCTCTATTGACCCATAAGCATCAGCTCCAGGGCTGATGCTCCTGGGAAATGGACAGAAGAAGGAAATGGGCATCTAGATGACCTCTAGAACAATATCCTCTGCTCATCTTGTCTGCACCAGTCACTGATGCCTTTGCTTATAAGCAACCTCTAGTATTTACATATAAGCAACCTGCCAGGAACAAATAGATATTCCTCTTCATCCAAGTTAGAATGCCTTCCCAGGAAAAAAATGGTCCACTGGGTGGTCAAAGCTGAAACCCTTAAAAAAAAGTGTAACTATAATTATATACATTAAATTGTAAGACGGTTTGTGGTAAAATGCTTTCTGAATAACAGCTAATTCCCAATGGGACTTTTGGAATATAACTTAAAATAGTACCCATGGAAAATGCTTTTCTTCTCCCAACAAAGAGACTGTATTAAGTTGCTTATGGTCTGATTATAGTCAAATGAGATGACGACTGCAGTGTCTTATGTTTTGCTCTTCTCCTTCAATGCCACAACTATAGCCAAGAACACATCTTTCTGATGAGGCAGACAGAGGGCAATTGCTTGCCCTGCCTCCCAAACTTAACATGCACTTCACCCTTCTGGGGAGAGAGGGCTGCAAGGGCACTACATTTAACTTTATACTTTTCTTTCTACTTCAATCTGCTGATCTAAGACCATTGCCACTGTTAATATAAAGTCTTCCATTTTTATATTGATTAGAAGTAGGTTAGGCCTGAAGCACTGATGAAATTTTTAATCATCACCTATGTATGTACATACTATCTATTTACATTCAGCTTTTTCTGTCAAGAAAATAGAAAAGTAATGTTAAATTTTTTCATTTTATTAAAAATAAAGCATATACACACCCCTTCTGCTTTCTATGCTGTAGAATTTTGATCTGATGAAACCCCAAAAGCCAAAAACTATTGGGGAGAATACTGCCATATATCATATTCAGTCTTTAATTCCATTGTTTT